CAGGGACACCATCAGAACAGGACCGGGACACCATTAGAACAAAACATCACAACAAGACCGGGACACCATCAGAACAAAACATCAGAACAGGATCGGGACACCATCCGTTGCCGGTGACCCGACGATGCCCGTCTGCCCATTAGTTTTGCAAACATCCATGGCTCCTTGCCCCTAGTAGCGTCCTTGCTCCTAGTAGCGATGCCAGGAGCCCCTGGCTCATTGTTTTGGGAAATATTGGTTCATTGTTGATGAGTACCATGGGTTTCCTATGCTGCCCTTGGGTGTGTGCATGCACAGGGATTTGTATGGATTTGTCAGATGTGGACTGCATCAAAGCGGCCACCGGGCCAACCGGCAAACCAAGGCCGCCCGGAACCGGAGGAACACCCCAAGGTCACAAGGCCACTTCATGCTGCCATGCCACTTCACGCAGTGAGACCAAATAGACTTTCAGGAACCGCCCCAAGCGATGGCCCGGGTTCGATGCCTCGGACGAAGTTCGTCCAAGCGTCCCTTTGGGAACTCGGGTGCCATCTTCGTGCAGCTCCTCAGCGTAGTGCAGGACAGCAACATACAGCAACGTAGTGCGAGACGCCGCGGGGTGTGACACGATGCTTGACACGAAGCGCTAGACCAAACTGACCCAAAAACCTCCCCCAGTTAGGTCGTCCTAAGATTCACACGTCACTATCCCGGAAGAAGACTGTAGTGTAGGAAAAGATTTCTGATTGAAGCATGCTGACTCTTTTGTGGGAGCTTTGTTGTGGTCAAATTGCAACTGCCTGAACATATGGGACCTCAAAGGCTATACCCCTGCAATAGGAACGGTGTAGGACGGAGAACCAACGCGTACTTCCCTTCTATGACCCCTCAACCACCCCCAAAGCTAGCTCTGAAATCCATCCGTGCTCGACGACTCAAGACGTTGTGTCTCCCCAAGGCAGACCAACGACGCCACCACGCGTCTCGCTTACGAAAAAGGCTGCTGCTCGGCGTTGTTGCTTCACCGAGCTGCTCAGCGTCCAGCAGCGCCTTCTCGAACATGCCCAACTTCAAGTATGCAGCACTGCGGTTGCTGTAGCCTCAGCGTGTGTTCTTCTTTGTCCCGATGACTGGCCATGACTGGCGAAGCTCCGGGCGGGCTGGAGGCTGGAACCATGGAAAGAAGCAACAAGAGCAACGAGTAGCAATCAGGAAAACATATGAAACAAGACCAGCAACAATTGAACCCCCCATTGCGTGCCCAGTAGCAACAACAATCACTCTCCAGTCCAAACAGCAACACAAACGTATAGCCTAGCACAATGAACAACCTGCAAGGCTTAGGGTAAGTGAACTACACAAGAAACACTTCATCACCGAAAATGAAAAATGTCGTGACCTCCTCACCCAAACCAAGTGATTTCAATATACACAAGCTCCCATGCGTGTGGATTAGAGAAGACCCGCCAGCCTGCAGGTCTTGGGCTGCGCCCTGGTTTTGATCCACGCAACATATTCTCCAACATCAGACCAAACAAGTGTACTGATGCTCAACTTTTGCATTACCATTCTTTCCCCCCCACAAGGAAGGAGCGTCTCACTGATTTAAGTTTTCATGTTTTTCCCCCCCCGCTTCACTGGAAACGCGGCCGCCATACGAAGAGAACCCTTGGAGAAGCAGAAAACGGCCAACGACCAGGTGCTCCAGGTGCACTCCATGTCTCATTTTGTTTGAAAACCCCGCCTCCAGGTTGATTTTGGACCAGAACCGATGACCGTTCCGGTTCTGGTTCCAGCACCTGTTCGTCGTTCTGACGGAAACTCCCCACTGTTCGGTTCCCCCAGTTGGTTTGGTGAGTTCGGTGATCCACTTGTCACGTCACTCAATTGTTGGGGATCAAGGCCTTTGCTTTCGATCCGTCCGAGAAATCGAGAAAGCCATCGAGAGACCCGTGGACACCGCCAAACCCAACGCACGGTCTCCACCAAAAAGAAAGGGACAAAACCCGTCCGACAACCCGCGCACCGCGCGGACGCATCGTCCAGGTCCAAAAGATCGCCCGCCCGGGCGTTTGGGGCAGCTCCGCTACCGTTCGGAACCCGTCGAAGTTACTCCGAGGGGCACAGGTGCTGCTCGGGGTCGTGCTCCAAAGACTGGCCTCGGGGTGACTGGGTGGGACATGGTGGGACACCGGAGGATGGCTCGCTTTGGATCGCATGATTTCGCGTTGAAAGGCTATATATATAGATTCTTGATAGATTCTTGGCGTTCATAAATATGATGTTCTTCTTCGATGTGAGATTTTCTCAGATGTTCTTTAGACCTTCCTTTTGGCCTCGCTCTATCCTTTCTTTGCTTTTCTGAGACTCGTTTCGATCATCAGCGAGGCCGTCCTATGCACGAGACAACCTGGTGACCCGGAGATAGAGAATTCACCCCCAGAAATGTGTGGGAGTTGATCAATTTCTCTCTAAACCCAAGGAGACGCATGCAACCAACAGTCAGCATTGCACTATCCTTTCCTCCCACAAACGAACATCGGCCTTAGGGACTCCCGCAAACATGGGTACCATGTCATCAAGAACTCTTCTGAACATGCTAGGGACCGTGAGATACTAGGATTGTGCTCTTGTGCGAGCCACAACTAGTGTGTTGCAGCAAGTTGGCCTACAAACATGTGGCCCAAAGGACATCCTAAGATTGTCACGTGTGAAGCTTCACTTGCCTTGTGGGTTGTGCAATGTTCAGAATCCATACCCAAAGGCTCAGAAAGCACCCCCATGTCGCTAGGGTTTTGATCCTCACAACCACGGTGAATTGGACTGAAGAAACATGCATAGCAGTTTCTTCAAGTCCAGGGTCACCTCTGAAGAAAGAAGTCCTTCTGACCACTACAGCTCACCAACGATCCAGCTTTGGAGCTTCGTTTTGCACCAGTACTGCTCCGGTCGCATGGCCACGCTGAAGTTCTGAGAAGCTGGCGATCTCCGTTCGGGGCCTTGACCCAAGCAGCACCGACCCCATCAGCCACTTTCTCCGCCACATCAAGTGGCAAGGACACTATTAGGGGCTCCTGGCCAGCTACTAATGCTTCTTTTTCCCGGTGAAGGGCCACGCGGTGATCGCCGAGCGCCGAAACGCTCGCCGGTCGCCGAAGATCGTTGGGTCCCAGCGGCTGTAGGCCTCCACGGCTCCAGAGAAGTCACCTGCACCAAGTCGGTCGCCGCTACCGTCCGGACCGGCGAACCTCGTGGCCGAAACACACCAGGGGTTTCTAGTTGCCCCTAGCCAGGAGCCCCTAGTAGCAAGAATGGCTACTAGTACAAGTAGTAGTAAGGCCAGGAGCTACGTTTGTAGCGTCCTTGTTACTAGTAGTAAGGCCAGGAGCCCCTAGTAGCTTTCTAGTTGCTTCTTCTTGGTGTGCAAGTAGAGTATCCAAAGGATTTCGGACCAGTTTTGGAGTAAATGGATCAGACCCTTGTGGCCTGGCAGCCTTGCGCCTGTTCCCCCGTTGCGGACTGATGGAGCAAACGGCGCCAAGCCATCCATACCCGGCCAGAAGCAGCAGGAAGGAAAACCCGCAGGATCTTTGGAGGACCCACCAAGGAACTCGCAGCGAAACGGATCCTATGCAACACCTTGCGCTTTTGTCCTTTCCCTCCGTCCTCTTTCCCTCCGTCCTTTTTTTTCCAGTCTTCCATGCAATCTCATGCCAATCAGGAACCAAACATATAACTTTAAACGGGTTCCCCAAACGTTTGACCGATTCCGGACACGCTCTGGCCCGGCCCCCTTCGCTCGCGCTTCGCGGGGCATTTACTGATTCAGTACGTGCCAGTCCTTCCGCGTCACCCAGAGTCCAGGAGTCCGATTTTCCCCGCACTGGACTTGGGACTTCCAGGACCCCCGCCTTCCTTGAACTTCCGATTCCCCTCCTCCTTCAGCGCCGCACTCATGGCGCCAGCTACGCGCCCGCGCGGAACTTGAAATGGAACACGACCCGTGCAACGTGGGGTCTACCCAAGAGGAGCCGCACGGATCGCAAGCTCTGGCCCAGAAATCCTCCCATTTTTGGTTGACTCACGGGTTTTCTCGGTCATCTTGGTATGGCTGTCAAGAGTGCTACCTTTCTACCAGAGTTCTTTTTCGCGTGCGTGTGAGATGCAGTCTGCAGCTTTGCCCCTTTCTTGAGATCAGAGTAAAAAAGAACCTCCCTCAAGAACCAATCACACTGAGTACCGACGTTCAACAACTAACTGTCAAATTGGGCCATCTTTGGTTCGAAGAAGACATTGATCCACTGTTCCGTGGCGCGCATGGGGCCGCGGCATCCTGCCTTCCTTGAGCCCAAAAACGCTCCAAGAACAATGCCGACGACCGATGAAACCGGCCCTAAGGGACCCCCACCTGGAAACCTCTTTCTGAGCGTTCCTGTATTCCACGGATCGGTGGCATGCGGATGCATGGTTTTTTTCCTTGAACAGGGTAAAGAGACGGCTGTGACATGGTATACCTCTGCCATCTCCAGACTGCAAAATGCAACAGCCATCTTAAGAACTTTGCAGTCTGCACTGAGCTGTCATCCCCGCTCAGTTTCCGGGAGAAGCGAGCTCAACCCCTGGGTGCTTCCACCTGTGGATGTCGGATCTTGACCAGAAGGTTTCCTTCCCTTCACACGTCAAAGGTTGCGCCCCCCCCGCTTGGGAGATCCGGGTAGCATCGGTTGTTTTCATGGGGTTTTCTTAGATTGACAACGTCTTCACCAGCCCAAGATACCGGATATCGGATAACCATAGTGGACCCACGGGAAGTACCAGAACTGCTGCTTCGAGCTAGATTTGTGCTACTTGGGGCCGTGTTTGTTTCCACACAAGTAGAAGTGGACGAAATCCCCAGTCAAACCGTTGAATTCAACTTCCATCAACCTCTTCTTTTGTCACAGACCTCTGCAAAACGCGATTCAACAAACGCCAGGTACTTCAGGGTGGCTTGTCTAAGCATGTCTTGCCCACCAACTGACTGCCACTCTGCCTAAAGTTCAGTGACCTGCAGGTGATCCAGGTGTCACTCCTGCGTAGGAAAGAACATGTTCGGTGGCGGTATACCCGGTAGGACTCAGAAAGAAGTTGATGTTTTGGCGCGGAGTGCTGGCCAATTTGCCTCTCAGAATTGATGGAACTTGTTGAACTCACTCGAGAATGGTCAGATCCCCACTCCGGAAAACCATCTACAGGAGACAAGTGGATCCACCAAACATAAATGGCAAGCCATTACCCCAAACCGCGAGAAAAACACACCGAAACCGAAACCGAACCGACAACCTATATAACAGCGTTGAGAAGACTCAGCGTTGAGTCTTCGTTCGCCGGCCCCCAGCCGAAGCCAGCCGGTCGGCCGTGCCCTTCCCGGTCTTCTCCAAAGGCACATCGCTCCCAAGAGGTCGCTGAGATCAGACCTGAGGATCGACCGAGCTTTTCTCCGGAGCATTCGAGCATTGACCTGGTTGGGTAGGGGCTGGAGCAGGTAGACCGTGTGGACTCGTTCGTTTTCGGGTGGGAGGAGGATGCCTCATTCTTCGATGGCGATGAGCTATTGGAGTTCTTACTTCAAGTATAGGAAGAGGTGCTGGTGATGCTCGGCTGCCAGGTGTTGATGGCCGTGTGCGCATTGGAGGCTGCGTGCTGGTGCCACTGCAAGGTGCAGCGGGCGCCACACTGGCAGTGGGCGCCGCTGCGGGGTGCCGGGTGCTTGGGCGCTGCCCACAAACCACCTCCTCACGATAGATACCTGAAAGGATCCGGAGGTGATTCGCCCAATGATTGCGGTGCCGAAACCAACTTAGATAACCCCCCCCAACACCAGGTGGACTGGAAAGAGCGCCCGAGGCTGCTTTTTCTTGGACCCAAGAAATGACATGCTCAAAAAAACTCACATGGTAACTGGTGTTCTACAGCCTGGGCCATTTTTGTTTAGAATCTAGAAGGGCAACGATGGTTGGAATCGAGGATGGTTCCCAGTTGTGGTTCAAATGCAGGATCAGCTCTTGACAAGAGAGCCTCGCACCAGAAATAGAGTCTGGTTGTGTGCTCCGTAACCCTCCAATCATTCTGCCAACATCCTTCCCATTGCACCTCAAGTCACCCTTCCCACATCCGACCGCCAGTGATCACCGCAACTGGTGCCCCAACAGCTGCTTGGGCATCATGTCCAGTGGTGGTTTGCCTCGCTCCAAGGCGGTGCAATGCGGAGCTCAGGTTCTGAACCCCAGATGGAACACACCGAAACACACCTGAGACAGGCCAAACCCCTGGGTCAGAGCCCTCCGTCTTCACTTTCTACACCAGGTGGCCAAAACAACAAAGACCACTCCGCAAGCGCACGGGGGAGGGATGTTGATCGGAGATTCTGCTATGATTCTGCGCCTCTAAGAGAAATCACCAAGGATTGAGAATGACCGAATGACCGAATGAATATGAATGAATCAACAGATTCCCATTGTGGCAATGACAGTGATGACCTTCTGAAGGGATCGTCCAAGTCTGAGCCTTGTGGGCTGCTCGACTGGGCAAATTCATGAACAAGAATGATCGATCCAACTCTTTTTGGCCAAAGAACAACCAGTTGCATGGAGGTCAGCAGGTACGTTTAACAGCTTATGGCTTGCTACACCGAAATCGGGGTCTCGGATCCCCTCCACCCGATCCATCCAGCCCGGGGAACCGGATCACGGTCGGCTCCGGGGATCGATGCGTCTTCGCGAAGACATTCCGCCCCGGGCTGGGTGTTCCTCCCATTTCTGCGAAGAAGACGACCGGGCTGTATAGTCTTTGATGGTTCAAGCTTCACTCAAGACAGGCCCCATATATAGGCCCCAATCGCTAGTGCACAGCGCTCCCATTCATCCCTTCATTTCTGAGGTCATCTCGGGTCAAGGTCGCGTTGAAGATGTCCTGCGCAGCACATTCAGAAGTTTTGACGGCGAGAAGATCGAGCAAGCAGAAGCTGGGCCGAAGCACCCCAAACCCCACAGCCTCGAGATTGAATTCTTTGGGGAGTACATCTTGGGTATGTGGTCATTACAAATGACCCCACTTCTTATGGTCCCAAGTCTCGTTACTAGTTGAGAGTCTCCTTTCTTCTACGACCTGCCCCGGTTTCAGCCACTGAGAGAGACAGACCTTTCCCGCGGAGCAGATCCACCGGGCGATCCACGCGACGGGAGCGCATGCCGCGGTGTTTCTCGCTGATCTCTCCGCTGCCCCTCTTGGGCAGCTGCGGCGGGCCTGCAGCCGAGAGGCCAAAAGAAAGGACCAAAACGACACCTGCCAACTGTTGAAAAACACGGTGTTCCTCAACAGTTTCACACTCCCACTCATATGAAGAGACCCAAGAATTCAAGCTGATTCGCAGATGTTGCTTTACCACGAACATGATGAGTGTACTGAGGCACCCAACTGGGTGGTGCACCGTCCACCGTCCGATCCCGTCGCTCGGTGACCAACCGTCGCTGGGCCGTGCAAACCGACCCTGTGACGGCACCCCCCCCCGTTCACCAGCTCTAGTGGTCCCCAAATAGATAGTGATGAAACCAATACCATTTTTGAAAGGAGTTGTACTTTTCTATCTATCTTGGGGGTCTATGAATATTTTTTTTTAGGATTTCCCTTTTTGGGGTCCGACCCTGACATCGGGGCCATTTGCCATCCACGTAACCATGGATGACTTCAGGGAGTGCATACCACACACGTACATCCTTGCGAACTATCTGAACGCCTCGCATGGTGAAGAAAAGCCCTTCAGCTTGATCCGGGTAGTGCCAAAAGGTCGCTGGTTGTGGATGGTAGGCACTGCAGCAAGTCGAACTGGTGTTCGCAATTCTTCATGATGCGAAACATGGGTTCAATCATGAGCGAAAGCACTCAAAAGGGGTTCAAATATGTTCAGACCTCCCTAGCGGAGAAAGAGAAAGGGAGGAACTTCGACAAAGGAAGAATGATGAGACGGCGGGCGAAAGGAATTTCTGCTTCTGGTGCCGAAATGCACCGTCGTTGTCAGCAACCAAAGTTAGGGAATGACGACCACTCTCTTTCTTTTTCCCGTATTCATTACTTTTTGCGAGTGGATCTTAATCAGCGAAGTTTGAAGCTATCACTGACGGTCCATAAGCGGCGTAGCGTCGGAACGGAAGCCGCACCTTTTCTAGTCGCTTGATCCTTGAGCCAAAGTACATATGGTACATATATATGTACAAGTTGCACTGTACGTGTCGCTGCACTTCCATTCGCACCCCCCATGTGAACGGCAACAATATGTTCCGATCACACACGAAAATTTAGGGATGTAAGTGCTACAAAAGAAATTGTATGATTTGCCGCGAGACTCATATGAGGCTCATACTACGAAACATGCTGGACTAAAGCGGACTTTTACATATAAAGTGTGCAACTATGGCTCAGAACCTATGAAAATCGAATTGAACAAGTGAGACAGTCACGAGGCCTCGCTCAGTATCCACTCAAAAGAGCATCGCTTTGATGTAGATCCGAACTGGTGACTTCCACGTAGATGTCACATCGGCAACTGACTTCACACTTCTCAAAAGATGTAGGTTTTTTTTTTGATTTGGATACACTTACAGAACGGCAAGTCGGAGAGACAGTCGGTGACTGTCTGCCTTCCATTATGCTCATGGTATCAAATCGTCAATCCGATGATTTGCAATGATACACTTACAGCGTTTCAGGTCAGATAGACATCCGGTGAATGACTTCCTCCCTGGTTTGCATGGTATCCTCATAGTCGTTCAAAGAAATCACCACTGGCGATAACCTCTCCATCCACGATGATCCCAGCTGCCCTGAGCATCCCACCGATCATCTTCTCCCTTCTTGGACTTTCCCTTGGACTTGCTCTTTCCCTTCCCCTTTTCAGAAGGTTGAGGTACTTCGCGACGTTC